ATATAGTTTACAAAAAAAATCATAGAAATTTTTATTAAACTTAACAATATTATAATCATCTAAAAACTTACAACCAATTTCATATTCTAGATTACTCTCATAAGTACTTATATAGCTAGCTATCCGACAATTTCACAAATCTACGAAACTTATAAATTTTTAAAGACTTTTTGTGCATGTACACTAATAATCAAACATTAACTATAGTATGAAAAATATTAATCAGATTAGAAATTCATCTATAAACTTTTCTAATTTACAAAATACAATAGAAGTCCAATGTGAAGAGATTTATAAATTATATTTGATTTATCAAATAACAAAAATAATTCTAATATTTTCTAATAAAAAACAAAACAAAATTCATAATCTCATTAAATTATAGTCATATTTGTATAGAACTAACACTATTTTCAATTAAAAATTAAATTAATCTTAGATTTTATTTTAGATATAAAACTCTATTCTTTTAATCCAGAAAAAAAAATATTTAATCAAGAATACTAATGGCAACTATAAATAATAATAGTATATCGTTAGAACCAATAGCTTTAATAGGTATGTCATGCGAGTTTGCAGGTGATATTCATTCACCAAATGATTTATGGGATGCATTAAAAGAAAGTCGTGATGTTGGTAGTACAACACCAATTGATCGATTTGATCTTGAATCATTTGCTGCTCATATGCTTAATATGGATAATGATGGACAACTTCGTCAAAAACTTCTTCGTGCTGGTTATTTTATGTCAAATCAACAATGAGATAAATCTAAACCAAATTTTTTTGGTTTTGTCAGATGCTGAACCAGCCGGTATTGATCCATGTCATCGATTAGTTATATTAAAATTTGTTGATTTACTTGATGGTGATGGATACAGTGTTGAAAAAATGTCAGGTACAAAAACATCAGCACATACTGGATAATTTTCAACAGATCATGTAATTGCAGCAGCTCGTATGAAACCTGAACAACGAATCAAGATTTTATGGACCTAATAGTTTATTATATTATTTTAATTTACATGATCCAAATGTATCATCAGATGCTGCTTGTTCATCTTCTTGAGAAACTTTACATATGACTGTGCAATGTCTCCGTATAAATGAAGCTGACATGGCTGTATGTGATGGTGTTAATGGATTCTTACGCCAGAAAGTTTTCTACAACATTCATTTATTGGTGCACAATCATCTGATGGAAGAAGTCGATCATTTAGTGTTGATGCTAATAGTTATGCTTAAGGTAAAGAATTCAGTTGATTAGTCTTTTTTTTTTATTTAGAAATACATTTCAATTTAAATATTGTGTCTAGATGATGGTCTTGATCTTTTATTATTAAAACAATTAAGTGATGCTGAACGTGATGGCGATCCAATTGAAGCTGATTGTTTAGATCGATTTTTCAATCGATCAAATCTTGATCCACCATTATTATTAGATTTAATTAAAAGTAATTTAGGACATACAGAAGGTGCAGCTGATGTTGCATCACTTATTAAAGTTGCTATGTGTATGCATCATGGTGGTATTACAGCAAATATGCAATTTACTTCACTTAATCCAAAAATAGATGCACAAAAATATAATCTACATGTTGTTCAAAATTTTATACCATTTCCATCCGTTTCAAATAATGAAAAAATA